CTCGGAGACTATAAGACCTAGGAACACCAAATTATAGTCCCAGATGCCTTATGTGAATACGCAGAAAATTTATATTTTGGAATTTCCCTCCCTTCCCCCTCTCATCCGCAAATCGCGATTTTCTCTAACTCCCGTAATTCTTGGAATTTCGAACTAATTTTGGAAATACCCCCAGCTGGTTATCCCCTCCAAGCCAGCTGTCAGTAACAACTGACTGTTCACGCTCACATTTGACTGACTATTTCTGTAAAAATCCTGTAACGCACTCAGCTGTCAGCAACAGCTGACTGAGGACTATTACATTTCACTGACTTTGCGTTCATACGGACGGAGATGGCTATATCGACTCGTCTTGTCATCCTGATCAATGATATATATACTTTTGCGGGTCTGCCACGCCTCCTTCTGTATGTTACATCTTTTGGGTACAGAGTATAAAAACCAGAATTATAGTGATTTTCCCGTGGAAAAATCAGGACACGAAAAGCTATGTGCAATCAACGCACAGCCCAAACGGTAAGAGCTAGGAAGCTGAAATTTGGACTCAAGTATCCTTTCATTGTACCCATCACAGTGTAAGTGCGCATTAAGAAAGGCTTTTGGAAAATTCGACCTCCAAAGGGGAGAAAACGAGCTTAAAAAATATTAGTTACATTGGCCATGTGTGTGTACGTTTATCGAAATATTTTGGCAAGAACCAAAATGTAACGGACTACTGAATAATATTTTGTCAAGAACAGAAAATATTCATATAAATACCTAAAATGCCTTCCTACTGGTAATTAATGAGGTGAAAATATATGCACACATACAAAATTAATACAATATGAAGCATTATATTGAGCCGGGTTAAGACGGGCAATACCTGCTAGTATATATATAAAACAGTTTGTCCTGACTGACTGATTGGTGATCAACACACAGCCCAAACAGTAAAAGGTAGGAAGCTGAAATTTCGACAAGTATCCTTTCGAATTGTAGGTGGGCAATAAGAAATTTGAAAAAAAAAAAATGCGGATTTGGAAAATTCGAGCTCCAAAGGGGGGAAAGCAGGCTCCAACGTTTGTATGAAAAATTTACAATTTTCATATCATTAACTTCATTGTAGAATCTTAGAAAAATTTAAGAATTAAAAAAACACTGCATACTTGGTTTTTCACTATTTTTCCTAGAGCATGAAAAGGGGGAGGTTTTCCCGTGAAAAAATTGAAACACAATCAACACCCTACAGCCCAAATGGTAAGAGCTAGGAAGCTGAAATTTAAGCTCAAGCGTAGATGAGCACTAAGAAGGGATTTTTGTAAATTCTAGCTCCAAGTGGGGGAAAATGAGCTCCCAAGTTTGTTTGAAAAATCGGAATTTTTCTAGCAATCAACTTAAAATCTTTAAAAGAATGAAAAAACTGCATACTCAGTTTTTTTAAATTGGTCTTGGAGCTTGAACTAGTGGGGATTTAATATTTAAATCTTTCCGGATATTTGCACTCCGTATGTACCTGGGTGTCTCGGTTAACTCTAAATTGCTAATGGAAGCGTTTCCCCATAGTTCAGAGCCATATGTCCAAATTGGTTTGGGAACTGCATTGTACAAGACTACTTTGTACTCCAGTTTTAGTGGTGAACGGACGTTTATAAGCCTATGTAGATTAATGACTTTTAGTTTCAGTTGATCTCTCTTCGCTTCGATGTGTTTGCGCCAAGTAAGCCGTCTATCCAAATGGACACCAAGGTGAGTTACATTTTTTTTTTTTATGGTATAATTATGTTGTTTAGTAACAATAGGATGGCAGTATCATCGGCAAATGTCGAAATTGTTGTATGACTTTTTGTCGGTATATCTGCTGTGTATATGTATATGTACACCAGCTCCAATTGGATGGTATTCGGAGAGGAAATCTTTGCATCTAACTGCGAAACTTCTTTGCTGTAGGTATGACTCCAGAATTTTTTGGATATTCTGTGGAAGTAATATGTTGATTTTGTGAACTAAGCCATCCAGCCAAACGCGGTCAAAGCCTTGGACGACATCCAGAAAAAGAGCGGAGCAATACTCTCGTGTTTCAAATGCATTTCGTATCTCAGAGGTTATTCGGTTGACTTGTTCAATGGTTCCATGTTTTTCGCGAAAACCAAATTTGTGATTTGGGATTGCACTGTTGGTATGTAGGTGTATATCTTCGATAGGCACGGCAGGAGACTCTTAGGTCTAAATGATGATGGCCGAGACTTGTCCTTTCCAGTTTTATGGATCATTGTGATGACAGATTTTCTCCATTGTTGAGGATAATAGCCCCATTTCATCATGTTGTTGAAAATGATGGTGAGAAAAAATACTGCACAGCTCGGCAATTCAATGATCATTTTGGGGGAAATTAAATCGTGGCCCGGCGCTTTTTTTTGCTTTGAAACTTGGCCCTTAATGACACCTGTAACTTTTTGCGCATAATTTTCTGCACCGTTTGTTGTATTGCTACCATTGTATTTGTGAGAGTTGCCAGAATTGATTCAATCCTGCCAATCCCACTAGGCATTGCGATTTACTTGCAGTGGTATGTTGGGTAGTAGTTTCTGGCCCCTGTTGCGATGTCTGACGATTCATAATTCCTGCAGTGGTTTGTTTAGAGACTGAGGCGTACGACTCGTTGATGTAACTTATAGTCTTAGCAAAAGATACTTCTGGAATCGTAGTTGATGATATGTATGGCAAGATTTGTCGGATGCGAATTTTTTTCTATTTATTATATTCATTGCCATTTTGACTTCAAAGCCCTTATCTTTAAGTCCACATTTTATCTCGCTGACTGGAACTGTTGGCTCGATTCCTTTGATAACCACTTTTAATCCATTGGTACTTTTAAGTTGGTAGGTGTAGTAGTTTATCTTTTCATCGCCGAGGTATTTGACCAGTGATCGATAGGTATTTTCATCATTGACTTGTATTGTAGTTTCATTTATTCTACACCTTTTTATAGACGTAACATAGAATTTGTTTTTGCCAATTTTGATAGTGAGTTTTTTAACCAATTCCGTACAATTTGCGTGCCGCACATAAATAGGTGGCGGCTTTAGTTGCTTGGCCTTAGCTGTTTCGGCGTTGGTACAGTGTTTTTTGCTATTTTAGTTATTTTGGGTGCGTTGTTTCTCTTAGTTGCTTGTGGGCTTAGTTTTCATTTAATTTGCACATAGCGGTCTGTATTAACGTGCTTTGGGGCGCTGAGAGACTGCTGTTGTTGTTGTTGTTGTCGAAGACACAATTGTAAGCGAGCGCATTGTAGTGGTCGTTGTTGTTATCAGCAATTCATTGGTAAGACAGTAGGGGTCTGCAGAAGGGCACTGGGCACTCCATGACCTACTTTGCAATGTGCTGGGTGAGCATATTAACGCAGGGGAGAGAGAGCGTTCTCTTTCCGAATTAGCTTGCAGTAATGCAGTTGTTTTTGGTACCGTTACATCGGGTGCGCGTATAGAAAAGTACGCGTTGTTACGAAGTGACGAAAGTCGACGTTTGTCTTGTTGTTGCTGCCGATTCTGGTTCATTTTTTCTTTGTTGCTTACAGAGCTTATGCTCTTACTCGTTGGCATTACTTTATTTTTTTTCACAAAATTTAGTTCGTTTTTCTTATGTAGTTCTAATCACAATATGTGATCAATTTACATGGGTCACACGAGCATAAGTGCCCATACATACCCTGAGCGTCTTTTCGCGAAAGTCATCTTCGGCGTCTTTCGGCACAATGAAACTTGTATTTTAATATAAGTTAATGTTTCCAGATTTTGTACCATTAGTTTCAGCTGCAAGTTTTTGGAGTGTTTTGTGTTATCATCAATAAAGCAAAGCAGTCTCAATGTTTTTGTAGCTTTTTCTATGCTATGTTGTTGTTTTTTGTGCTTGTGTTTTGTCCTGCTGCTTTCTTCCTAAGCAATTTTAAAACTCGAATAATTTTACTAAAATCTGTTTTTGATTCGTTAGATTAATTATAAAATCAATTACCACTTCCCTATATATGTTTTATTGTCTTATAATATCTTATGTTCTTTCATGAAAAACTTGTCTTAAATTCAAAGCAATATAATGTTTTATGATTTAATACCTATTAGAATTGTACAAACTGCGAGCAAAGTTTCACTTTGATATCTCTGTTGCAAGTATTTCTGGGGTTCGTTCTTAAAAACAAACAAGAAAGGAAAATGAACAAACTTGCCCTTTTTCGGGCGTAGGAGAATCTGGATACCAAGTGGTTATTCTACCTCTAATACTTTCTGAGATCCTTGCGTTCATACAGACAGTCGGACATGGCTATATCGACTCGGCTTGTCATGGTGATAAAGAATATATACTTGTATACTTTGTGGTGTCTGCCACGCCTCCTTCTGTGTGTTACATGTACACTCGCACAAAACTAATATACCCTTTTACCCTCTGGGTACCGGTTTTACCTCCCTTGGTATTTGAACTCACGTACGAGCCCTAACCACTATTAATTGGTACGGCTACGTTTTTTTCGTTAGTGAAACTTTTAATGACTTATATTTCTTTTTAGGTGATTATTGCCTAAAGATACACTGCGCGTCATCAGGTTAGCACACCTACATCAGCCAAATATAATTGGTTCTGATTTTGTTGTTGTTAACTTTAAGCAAATTTTTATACTCTGTACATGAAATGTACAAGAGTATATTAGCATGACAAGACGAGTCGATCTAGCTCTGTCTGTCTGTCCATCCGTATGAACATCTGGATCTCAGAGACCATAAAAGAAACACCAAATTTGGCACAAAGATACCTTATGTGTGTACGCTATACGAGTTTATTTTATTTTTTAATTTAAGTGTTTGAATTCTTTGAAGTTGGCTTTCTGAGTTTTGTGCGAATGTATGTAACACATAGACAAAAGCTACATACATATACACTGAATACAAATAATCATATGTATGTATGGTTATTAGTTTAAAATGCATCTTATGGTTATTCAAACTAACTAGTATACATAAATATATTACCTGAACATTCGGAATAACTGATCAATTTCAGAGTCTCCTTGAAAAAGTGGTTTTCGTGTAGCCATTTCCGCAAAAATGCAACCAATTGACCAAACATCGACGGGGCAAGAGTATCGGGGAGAACCCAATAACACTTCTGGAGCTCTGTACCACAATGTTACTATTTCATGTGTATATATGCGTACTGGAATGCCAAAAGATCTGCCAAGTCCGAAATCAGCGACTTTAATTATACCACTACGGTCAATTAGTAGATTTTGTGGCTTCAAATCGCGATGAAGAACACGACGACGGTGGCAAAATAAAATAGCGTTTGTTATTTGATATAAGTAGCTGCGCACCAATTTACTATCCATTTGTTTCTCTGAAGGCAATGAGTCCATATACTTTTTAAGGTCCATTGAAAGAAATTCAAAAATCAAATAAATACGATTTTCTTCCATTAAAACATCTTCCAAACACACAATATTTGGGTGCTTTAATTCTTTTAGTAGCGAAATTTCTCTGCAGTGAAAACATAAAATGTTGATGTTTAGGGAATAACTACATTAATCCTTCTATTACCTTATGGCAGTTGATGGTACTCCTTCGTCATCAGACTCTAGTCGTATTTTTTTCATTGCTACTATTTGACCGGTTAGTCGGTTCCGGCCTTTGTAAACTACTCCATAGGTACCCTCACCTATTTTTTCAATTTTTTCAAAGTCCTCCATCACTTAAACAGAACCAAAAATTTAAAATACCGCGAAAATGACTTCTAAAGCGTAAGTGTTACCTTATTATAAAAAACAAACAAAATTATGGGCACTCGAAAAACTGTTCATATTTATGCCATAAAATACCAAATACCGACATTGCAATAGTTTAATACTATTATCGAAAATAATAAAAGCAACTATTCATATACTAGTTACTCCAGCCACAATAGCTCAAAGATGATCGATTAATATAATGAATAAAATTAATAGAATATTGTCTAAACAACGAATATTTTATTGAATATTGTTGTTAGTAAATTTAATAATTCCCAAAATAAAACATTACATTATATTTTCTTTTTATTCTAAGATTAGGTTGGTGGTTAATAATGGTCTGGAGGAAGAATAACTAAGAGGTAGATCATTTTTGGCAATCAGTTAATAATTCCAATTTAGACCAAATTACTACTTATTATGTTATGTACATATGCATATGAAGGTGTAATTTAAGCGTAAAACAACATACACGCATACATACATAATGATGAAAGTAAACCCGGCAGTTCCGTATTTTCATATTTATTTTTCTTTTCTTGTACGCCATTTTAGTAAATCATTATCAAATAGTTATTAATAAAAATCATGAACATAACATTTAAAGTTATTTTCCATTAAGCTATGCAATTCACATCACATCGCTGTTATGCACAATATTTGTAACAACGGACCTGACCACTCCACGACACACACGTTTTCGCCAAGTTTGTTTAATTAATACACAGTTATTTGGTACTTATTTAAAACAAGACGACTCTGCAAAATGTGATGTTTCAAATACATACATATGTAATTTTATCTTTGGGCCAAGTGGGCATATCTATTGTTCGAATGTTTTTGATACTGTGTGTGAATGCTAGAGTTTTAACTAAAGGTTTAGCAATTTGCCGAAGTAATAATATTTACATAGTATATCCAAAATATATCTGATGCAGATTGTTTAAAAAAACTTAAGGCTTATATTCCAATCAATTTTTTATGGCGAAAAATGACTATATATTTTAGTATATTTAATCAAATCTCCAGGCAAAACATACGACATTTCAGTTTTTCCAAAAGAGATTTCTGTGGCACTGAAAATTAGTTTTGATTCGAAACTTAAGCAGTAAAGAAAAAAAGAACATGAAATCAAATTATAATTTGAAAATAATTAATGGATTTTATATTTGAAACAAGAAAGGAATGCTAAAGTCGAGCAGGCTCAACTCTTAAATACCCTGTACCACCCCACAAAAAAGTAATTAAATTAATTCATTAATTAATTTAATTAATTTAATTCAAGTAATTAATTAATTAATTAAATTTAATTAATTAACTAAATTAAATATAAAATATTCCATGCATGCATACATACATTTACATCAGAATCGTGCCTTATGTGTGTTTGTGTACCTGTACATAGTATGTATGTATGTGTGCATTGGGCCTGGTTATATGGCTATAACTTTCTTTCCGATCATTCTATCATAATGAAACTTGGTGAAAATTTATATGATTTTATATAAATTGTATAGAAACAAAGAAAATGGGACGCTTGCTTTTAACTTTAACTTTTATTTATATAAGTGAACCGCTTTCGAGGCAAAACAAACGAAAAGAGCCACGTACGACTTGTACGGTGGCTTGTCACGGATGCGGAGCGTTGTGCTTATAGGGCCACAAAAATCAACACCACATACTTCGAACGGGTGGAACGGCTTGAGCCTGTCTGCCGGAAGATTTCCCATTACTTGGGAGGCCAAGCTTCCATTTGAAGCAGAGGATGCACGAACGTACTGTTCGGCGACACACTTCCTGAGCGTTAACCAGCCAAACTCGCTCACGAAGCAGGCTCACCAGCGATATAGGGCCAGCATGGCAATTTGACACATGCAAATAAGATACGTACGATCTTATGAATTGCGACTTTTTAGAAAGCAACAACGGAAACTTGGCTTCGTACGGGATAGGAGCATTTAATAATCTTCCCCCCACTCTCAGCAAGGAAAACAAGAAACCGTCTTCTCTAAACTCATGTAGAAATGGACTCAGACGCTGCAAGTTAGCGTTAAGTGTTCTCTTTTTTCGAACCTTGTCGATGTCGTCACCGAACTCATTGTCCTGGATGACTTGAACAATTTTGTTGAATACCAAATTGAGTTCGCTTGGCTTGGCTATAGGATCAAAGGGCTTCGAGACCTTTCTGCACCTTTGTATAAATCGAAAAACCCAAACGAACACCCTCAGCAATTTTGAATGTGACGAGTAGCTTTCGATAACTTCGAGAATATAATTGGCTTGCCGATCTGCGAGTAAAACTACAGCAGACTTACGAATTTCTAGGGCAGCTGAATTTTTAGGCGGCTCGAAGTGAGCATTCACAGGCCAATTTTCTTCCGATTCCATGAGGAAGGCTGGCCCTGTAAACCAAATGGAGCTACGCAACTCGTCTACATTACATCCTCTGGACACGATGTCTGCTGGGTTGGATTTCGTTGGGACATGTCGCCACGTTGCATTGTCGGCCCACTCTTGGATTTGAGAAACCCTGTTTGAAACGAAAACTGACCATGCCGACGGATGTGACTTGATCCAGTAGAGCGTTATTTCCGAGTCAGTCCACATAACTATCTTGTCTATTGGAAAATTAAGCAACGGGCGGACTTGACGAAAAAGATCTGCGAGAAGGTGAGCTGCACACAGCTCAAGACAAGGCAAAGTTTTCGTCTTGAGTGGAGCTACTTTGGATTTTGAGGTCAAAAGTGACACTTTCCAACCATTCGCAGTCGCAACACGAACATAAATACAGGCGCCATAAGCTCGCATTGAGGCATCGGCGAACGCATTTGAATGGGTGACTGCGTATCTGTATGGACGAATCTAGGGACTTGAATACCGCTGAGGTTCAACAAATTCTGCTTAAATGAGTCCCAAACTGTATGAAGATTCTCAAGGATGGATTCGTCCCAATCTAGTTTTTGTAGCCACAAATCTTGCAGCAACATTTTTGCTTTGGTGATCAGCGGGAAAAGAAGGCCCAGAGGATCGAAAAGCCTGGCAGTCACCGATAATATGTTCCGTTTTGTCGAGCGGAGATCTAGGAAGGAATTTTCCAACTGGAACTGAAATACATCTTCCTTCGGCAACCACATAACGCCGAGCGTTTTGGTTGGGTCTGAGTCGACTGTGGCTACTGGAATAACTGTGCTATCAAATACGGACAGTTCCGACCAGTTCGAAAACCACTTTGCAAATTCGAAGCCTGCACTTTGAAGAACGTGCGACACTTCTGCTCGAAGCTTTTTTAGCTGTTCAACGCTTTCAGCAGCAGTTAACATATCGTCGACATAAAAGTCGCTCCGAATAACTTCAGCAGCTGTTGGATGTGAGGAACGGACCATTTCACTCAGCCTTGTTAAACACCGCACCGCCAAGAACGGAGCTGGCGACGTGCCATATGTTACAGTGTTTAACTTGAAGATTTTCAAAGACTCAGACGGATCTCTTCGCCACACTATGAGCTGATAGTTTCTATCTGCTTCGTGCACCATCACCTGACGGTACATTTTTTTAATGTCTGCCGCTAAGGCGAACTTTCGCAAACGAAAACGAAGCAGCGTAGAATAAAGCTCCTCCTGAATTGTTGGACGACCATTAAGGTATCATTCAACGCAATCTGAGTGGACGTGCGGCAAGAGGCATCGAAAACGACACGCAACTTGGTCGACGTGCTTTGAGGCCGCAGGACACACTGATGCGGAGTAAAATAGTGTGGAGTATCTGGAATTTTGTTGTCCGTTGAGGACATGTGACCGAGCGAAACATACTCGTCCATAAATTCCAGATACATGCTTTTCATTTGAAGGTCTTTTGATAACCTCCTTTCAAGCGACAAAAAACGACGTTTCGCAATTTCATACGACGAGCCAAGATTTTTTGGGTCAGATTTAGGTAAGGTAACCGTACCTGAAATCGACCAGACGACAAGATTTTTGTATTATCAACAAAGTGTTGTTCACAAAGCTGTTGCTCAGGTGAGAGAACTTTCGAATTATTAGGCAAGTCCTCAATGGACCAAAACTTTTGTATCGTTGAGTCTATCGAAAGTAATTGTTCTTCTTGGCAACTTAAATTCACTGCTCCTTCTATACTCGTTGTAGGTTGAGTAGAGCATCTGCCTGACACTATCCAGCCGAGAAGCGTTTTTTGTAATGTGGGAGACTCAGGGCCTTGCTTTATTTGGCCTACCGACAATAAGTCAAAGAATGACTCTGCTCCAATTAGCATATCAATTTTTTGCGGTTTATGGAATTGAGGATCGGCCAATTGAATATTTTTGGGGACCCTCCACCCGCTGGTGTTCACCGCTTGATCGGGATGATAACCAGAATTCGATCCCAAGATCCAAAAATCTGCGGAAAACTCGCTACAGTTGACACGCGACTTCACCACTGTATGAATTCTTTTCTTGGCACGCGCATTGGTGTCTCCAATGCCGCGCAAGACCATACACGTACCCTCTCGTCTGAGCTGTAGCTTTTGAGCTAGATCCTCAGTCACAAAGTTGACTTGTGACCCAGAATCTAACAATGCTCTTGCTAAAACGAAATCGCCACTTTTCGTTTTAACGCTCACGACTGCTGTTGCAAGAACCACTCCATCCGAAGCAGTCGCATGCATGGCATGCGAAGTGGAAGAGCTATCTTGAAGAGGTGGTGGCTGAGAGGGTGGTGGTAACGCAAGATTTGTGCTAGCAGTATAAATAGGTAGCAGTGTGTGATGAGAACGTTGGCACACGCTGCATTTCTTTGCCTTACACTTCGCTACTGTGTGGCCTCGTCGAAGACAGTTTATGCACAAAGGCGCACCTTTAGCGAATATATGCCTGGCAATTGCCAATCGAATGGTTGCAAAACTGACAAAGGTTGACAAAGGCAGCAACGAACGAATGATTTATCCTGCTAGCATTTTTGACTTTTTGAGTCTGAGTGTTATTGCTCGACTAGCTGCCCTTC